TCTTGAGCTAGAATCCTGTTGGGTGACACACACAGGCTTTACACCTGTATGTGTCCCTTTATGGTCATTGTGGAAGAAAGTATCTAGTGTCTTTTTTGTGCACATGTAACCTACTTGCAGATGTTATCATACCCCCCTGCTAACCATTTAGTGACTGGAGGACAGCAAGGGGAGGCCAGTTGTGTTGTGCAGCTGGTTACATAGAGAAAACATCATCTTCCCAGCTCTCTGACAGTGTATTCTAAGTACTTCTTTCTAAACTGTAAACCCCAGGATTCTGTAGGATGCAGCCATAGCTGTTAAAGTGAAATCAGAGTGCTATAACTGTGTGATGGGAAAGGATCCCAGATTTGGCAAATAGTACATTTACCTATATTATGCAATGGCATCAGTGGGTAGAGATGGAGATGTGCAGAAGGCTACATGTCTGGAATGCAAGTCTGTATCAAAGTGGAGAGAGAAATAATTGCAAACAATTCAAAATCCCTTTCTGGCTAGTATACTAATGATATGGTGGAAATGGGTCAGTTATTTTCTTTTTCACCCATCAAACAATTATATACCATCCACATTTTTTTGCTCACTAAAAAGCTTGAATAATTTAATTGTTGGGATGAAAAAGATATACAAAAGATTTGGAGCATTTTCACCAGAGGGCTTCATAAAAAGGTAAAATAACAAAAAGAAGCTTTACAAAAATTGTAATATAACTAGATACAACCAAGTAATCTATTTTGCATATTGTTGTACAGTATATATTAGAATGACGTCTCAAGGGCTTACATTATTTGAAGGATTTTATGTCTGTAAAACACATGACACAAAATAAATAGATTATTCAAGTGGATGATCTGAACTATAGCCAAATGTGGGGGTATGCTTGGCTTGAGAGGGGGATTTGGGCTTATGCATTAATGAAAATGACTGGAACAGAATTTCGGTTGATATCTCCATGTAAAACAATATCTGTGTAATTGCAGGTAATTATATTTAAAATTACCTACAGATGGCCATGGTGCCCCATAGGACTGACTAGGATGAATAAAAATGTGCTTCCATGCTGCTGGAGAAAGTGTCAAGAGCTCAGAACTAGCGTGCTTACCTGACCGACGGTGGCCCAATTTTGGAATCAAATAAACAGAACTTCTGGAAGATATCAGTCATCAAACAGTTCATAATCGGGGGTCATTACTTCTATTTAAACTATTCCAGGATGAAAATAAGACTCTTCACAATGACAAATTGCTCAATTTATTACCAGTGGCAGCACGTTTTGAGATACAAGCATGCTGGAAAGACCTTGATGGACCCCATCTTTGTGGAAGGCTGGAGAGAACCTGGACTACAACCTTAGCTGAAAAATTGGCCAGAGGTCCAAGGCTCCAGAAAGACATAAATAACACAGAAGGTTTTGAACTGGCATGGTGCAAACTGAGTAGACCTATTGAGTCAATATGGCATAACTGTGGCTGCATCTGCACTGCAGAAAAAATCCAGGTTGACACCACTTTAACTGCCATGGCTCAATGCTATGGAGTTTTGGGAACTGTACTTTTGTGAGATATTTAGGCTCTTCTGTCAGAGAACTCTGGTGGCACAGCAAACTGCAATTCCCAAAATTCCACAGCATTGAGCCACGGCAGTTAAAATGGCATCAACCTGGATTATTTCAGCAGTGAAGACACATCCTTTGCAATGGCTTTAACCAGCCCCATTCATTGCATTGAATCTACTGTATGTAGGGGTCTAAGAATTTGATTTAGCCCTGGCCTTGATTCTTTATTAATCTTCTGTAATCCAAACAATTTTTGCTATTTGTTGGGTGAGAGAATACCATATATATTCCCAGAAGCCATGTGAGTGGAAGAAAACAACAGAGATACAGATCAGGGATAAATCTTTACCAAGTGCTTGTACCATGCTTCAGGATAGCCTTTCTCAATCTGGCAATTTCTAGATGTTTTCATTACACATCCTACCATCTTCAGTCAGAAATTGAATTGTGGGTTGGTAATCCAAGCCATCATGGTATAGCAGCCACTACGACAACCAAAGCCATTTCTGCCTCATAACTAGGAGTGAAACCAGATTAAAATGGATATCTCTCATTGAGGGACATTTGAAGCTTGGAGCCAGCAAAAAGTACTTACTTCTTCTTAAGTCCATATGCTAAGTGCTCTTAAAAATCCCTGAAGTTACCATCAGCACTTAGCATATGGACTTCTTCTTAAGAAGTATGACGTAAAAGCCCTGAAGTTGCCATCAGCACTTATTATGTGAACAGTAGACTGAATAGGAACACGAATCAGCTATCCACAGTTTACCCAATGCACAAAAGCTGGAGCTGGTGGGAAAAGGGATATTATCCATGGGCTAGCACATGCAACCATGTTTCCTACTTTTTATATCCTGGAAACATGTGGAGGGTCAATCCTGACAAGTACTGGACAAGCAATGGGAATAGCAGTAAGGAGGGAAAAGATGCATTAAGATCAGTTGTGTGTGGGTTAAGTAAGTTAGAGGACAACTTGTGAGACTTGTGAGTATATAATTCAATTAGGGTGGCCCTGTATCCTTATTTACAGATGGCACTCCTCTCTTTAAAGATATCTTCTCTTTGAGACATTGCACAGTCCAAATCTGGTTCAAAGAAGGGAGAGCAGAGGCTCTGGAATTAACACTAGTACGTAGCTATAGGGATACCAGATTGAGTACATAAGTCAGTTGGTCATAGTTTACCCATGATGGTGATTAGTATTTAAATTATAGCCACAATTTCTAATGTTCTACATTAATACGTGCATGCTTTATGCAAGCCAATGACCTCTTTTTGGATGATACATATCCTGGTCTTTGAATGGCCAGTCTACGGTTCCACCATCCATATGAGGATGCATCACCGATTCCTGTTTTCAGGACCAAACAGAACAAACCTGGACATACGTCTAATGTTGTTTTCCGGAAAAGCAGTCATTTTCTGAAGACATCACGTTCCTTTCCAGTGAAGCTTGGTGCTGTGTTGGTCGCAGCAAGAAGGCCTCAGGCTGGCCAGCTGTGTTGGTTGTCCAGCTGCAGGCCAGGTGAGCAAGGGCATAGTCTTCCTTTGGAGGGCTGATGCTCTCCATACCCAATTCCCAGCATAGGACCTGGTGAGGGAAAGGGGAAGGGAGCGTGTTCTTTATTTAGCTGGGGTTTCCTGTTTCCGATTTGAGTTTTTCCAAAGAACAGGGAGGCAGCTTTGGCGGGATTGTGTTTTGTTGTCGTCGCTGTTGTTCTGGGGGGAAAAAAAACCCAGGCAGGATTTGTATTGTCAGGGCTTTGATGTCTTTCCTCTGTGCTGTTTCCTGTTCACTTGAGCACAGGTTAAAAATATGCTTCTGCTGACATCATCATCATCCTTGCCATCCTTCTCCCATCAGAGTCAGAACCACACAAGTCCCCTGGCTGTTACGTTCCCAGGGAACATCAGGTCTCAACTTGGCCTCTTGGAGGACAACTGAGGCCCCAGCTGCTGCAAAAGAAATGTTGGGAAGCTGTGAGATTCTTCAGGAGGAAAAAAAAGGACACTGTAATATTATTATTATAAGCCATTTCCTTTACTCCAGGCATGCATCATCTCCAACTCCTGTCTTCCTCTGCCACCAAGCTCACGCTATGTGATGCACGTAGATGATGATATTATTATTATTATTATTATTATTATTATTATTATTATTATTATTATTATTATGCTTATTCTGCTCTCCAGCCACAAAGACTTTCAGAGCAGCTTTCAAATTGTTAATTTGACAGTTCCCTGCCCTCAGGCTTACAATTTAAACAAGAAATCATACATACGGAAAAGGAGATTGCCGTCGGGAAGGGAATGAAGTCCAGCAGATATGGCTCTACTCTCCCTTGGAGGCCAGGACATGGAAGTTGGGATGGCAGGTAGAAATAAAACAGTTTTATACATGTAAGCTCACTTTTCTTTTACACCTTTGAGACTGAGAGAAAGAAGTGTGCAGCTTAAGCTTTTCTTGATTCAATCTACTTCATGAGTTGCATCCAGTGAAACATCAGTGGATAGATATTTGTATCAGTGGATGGGCAGCATGTGTGAACAGTGATAGAAAGGTAAGGTGATGTGGTGACAAGCTCAGTTTCAATGATGGTCATAAAGAGTAGATAGGACAAAGGTGAGAAAGACAGTATACATCAGGATTACTTGACCAGGGTTCTTTGGAAATGTAGGGTTCTCCGAGAGCTTGTTTAGAGTTTCCATGAGAAATCATAATTGAAAAAAAAATTAATTTGTATATAATAATCTGTATGCAAGGCTCCCATGAGACCTGAAAATTATTTCAAGAATTCTTCTAGGCAAACAAGGTTGTGAAAGACTGATGAGAAGTAAACAGTGGAGGAAGTTTCTGGTCTAATAGAGGAAGTTTCAATAGTGGAGGAGGTTTTTGGTCTTGATACGGCTTGGGACAAAAAACCTGATGTCATAAAGAGAGCATGAGTGCCTACTTGTGAATGGGAGGTCAACTACTGTTATCATATGTATAGTGTGCCAGAAACCCTTGTTTTTTATTGAAATAAAAACATAAGGAATAACCAGAAATGCACTTGCATACACAAATAAAATCTGCAAGCACACTAGGAATAGGTCTCTTGAAAAGCTGACTAATCTCAATTGCCCATGTAAAAAATTATGTATTTATTTATTTAATATCCTGACTTTTCCCCCAGCACAGGACTCAAGGTGGAATCAGTTCATTGCAGGAGTCATGTATATGGGAATGTAACAGGAATAATGTTGACTCACTTGATGACTGGAATAATAGCAGAACTGTTGTTGTTGTTGTTGTTGTTGAGTGCCTTCAAGTAGTTTCCAAATTATGGCGATCCTAAGGCTATCCTGGGGTTTTCTTGGCACGTTTCTTCAGAGGGAGTTTGCCATTGTCGTCCTCTGAGGCTGAGAGAATGTGACTTGCCCAAGGTCACTCAGTGGGTTTTCATGGCTGAGCAGGGATTTGAACCCTGTTCGCCAGGGTCATAGTCCAGGGTTCAAGCCACTACACCACACTGGGTTTAAAAAATAACATAACTAGTTCCTTTTAAAAAGTGATATTTGGAGCAAGATCACATTTCAACTGGTTGACTCCTACTAAGTGAATAAATATTAAGAGATTTCTGTTGAAATTATAGTCATTCAACTAAACGCTAGACCAGAAATATAAATTAGCATATAGCACCCTTTTGTTCTTTTCTTTTTTCTCATTCTTTTTGGTATTTTCCCCCTTTACAGTATCTCAGTGGTCATCCTTAAAGGTGGGACACTTTCAAGGCATTCTCCCCAAAATTTGGATCTGGTACTCCATTTTTGGTTGTGGGGATGATGGGATTTGCAGACTGGGAGCTGTCCTAATTAAATTATACCATGCATCAGTACTTTCCTTGTATCTATCTGAGTGGGAAGTGATGGAATAGACCAGTGATTCCTAAACTTTAGTCCTCCAGGTGTTTTGGATGTTGACTCCCAAAATCCCAACCCAGGTTGGCCAAAAATCAGGAATTCTAAGAGCTGAAGTCCAAAACATCTAGAGCAGTGGTGGGTCCCCAACCTTTTTATTGCCGTGGACTGGTCAATGTTTGATAATTTTTCTGCGGCTCACTGGGGGGGGGGGGTTGTGGCATCACGTTGATTATTAAATCAAAACAGATCAGTGGTCCCCAACCCCCGGTCCGCAGCCCAGTACCATTTGTTCTGAGGACCGGTACCGGGCCGTGGACCGGGGGTTGGGGACCACTGATCTAGAGGACTAAAAGTTTGGGCACCACTGGAATAGACGTTGGACATTACAAAGATTCAATTGTAGTTGCTGTTTTCCTCTCCTCCATTCTCTATTTCACTTCATGAAAAGCCCTTCAGAAGAAGGCAGAGGTCTTAATGAATGCAAGCAGCTCTGCATTATCTTGAGTTTCAAGGTGAATTGGGTTTCCTCCAGGATCCTTTAAATACAAACCTAACAAATGGCAGGGAGGTTGCTCTCTCTTGTGGTGTAAAGCTGAAGTACATCGTGTTCATAGCATGGAGAAAATGTGACAGTTCAGGTGACTAAACAGTGATGTTGAAAGCCAGCCGGGTTTAATGCTTTGTGCACTGGACGACAAGTCTGAAGACCAGGGTTCAAATCCCTGCTCAGGTATGGAACCCCATTGGGTGACCTTGGACAAGTCACACTCTTGGACCCTCAAAGAAAGGAAAGGGCAAACCCCTTCTGAATAAATTTTGCCAAGAAAATACCATGATAGGTTCGACTACAGTTCTCCAAAGCCCCTCGCTTTGCTGATTGGGGATTTCTGGGAGGTGTAGTCCAGCAAAGCAACTTTTTCACATTCCGCTTGCAGGTACCATTGGACCTTATCACACGGGGTCTAAAGCAGACAGAACCCCATCCCATCCCCGTCCCATTGCGTTTTTTTTCCCATGTGTTCACATGACGTCGCACAGAACCCCGTCCCATCCCCATCCCATCCCTGTCCCATTGTGGTTCCTTTTCCCGTGTGTTCACACGACGTCACAGAGAACCCCGTCCCATCCCTGTCCCAATGCGGCATCATCCCCATTCTTTTGAATGCCTGTTTCCTGGGGAATTACATTTGCGCGACCAGAATGATAAGGCAATAATGCTGCTTTCGTTCATTGCGGAATGATGCTAGTTGTGTCTGATAGCAATTTCCGTCTTGTGGGGTCTATACCGGTATAGTTCTGGATTGATTCCATACCGCTTTCTTGCCGCTTTGAGACCCGCGTGTGATAACGTCCATTGAGTATGTTTCTTGAAAGTGTTCCAAATGTCCAAATCAATACATCTCTACTTTGCAACCAGTCACCAAGAGAGGACGACTCTGTTTATCCATAGCATTTAATGACTGAGCTATTTCAGTCTTTCATATCTTCAAGACCCTCTGCCCCCCAGCTGAAAGACCAATAATGGAGAGGGAAAAAGTAGGACCAGGCTGTTCCATTTGTTCCACTTTTGAATGTCTTATTTTCTTAATTGTGCTTGTCTTGCATTTCACCACTTTTAAGGACAATGTGTACATTCCCATTAGATGCCTTTTAGATAAGACAATAATTTTGCACATAGAGGTCTGACTGCAATCACATATATGGTGTTTGCTGAAATTGGAACTTATGTGCCTGCTAATACTGAAAGCAAAAACAAAAACACCAGCACAGGGGCATACAGGTCAATGTTGCATATAAGGTTGCTGGAATAACTGGGCTCCTGTATCTTTAGTGCAAATGGATCTTGTAGCACCTTTGAGACTAACTGAAAGAAGTTGGTAGCATGAGCTTTCATAGACTTGAGCCTACTTCCCCAGATGCTTGTTTAGTTAAGTAGGTTCAAGTCCACAAAAGCTCATGCTGCCAACTTCTTTCTGTTAGTCTCAAAGATGCTACAAGATCCCTTTGCATACTGATTTTCTAACATGGCTATGTCTTTGAACTGTACCTTTAATAGTTATTGATAAGAAGATATTTCAGCAGGCTTTGCTTCTTCCTTGGTTGCATGGCAAAACAACCCCCCAAAAAACCCTCCAAAACAAACAAACAAACAAACAAACAAACAAACCCCTGCTGAAATTGCCTCTTCTACATAACCATTAAAGGTACAGGAGTTCTTTCCATTTTTCAGTTGCCTATAATGACAAGTGAGGATCAAATGTTTGTACTATTTGTTTCAGATGCTGAGTTGAAAGCTGAGTAGAGTAGCATTACATTTTAAAACTACTCCATCTTTTCTCTGATAAATTCAAGGTTGCACACAGTGGCGCATGTGTCATTTGTCTTACCTGTTTTATTCTTCCAACAAGAGCCCTGTGAAATAGGTAGAGATGAAAAAGAGAAATTGGCCCAAGCTCAACTCCCAATCCTGGGTTTTCACAAGTTTTGCTTCCCAGTCAATCTCATGGATCACTAAGTCAGGATCTGGCTGTATTTTTGGCAGGGAAAAAGAGATGAGAGAAGATAACCAATACTTGGCAGCCAATACCTAAAGTAGTTACGAGAGCATGGAAGGCTCTGGATTTTGCTAGTCTGAAAATTTAATTTTTTTTCTAGGTTCCCAAGGTTAATAAATTAAAACTAAAAATGCTTAATTCATATTATTAATAATAATAATTTTTAAAAAAATCTTACTTGCCTCTCCCCATGGAAAGAAGCAGGGGACAACAATAAACAAACACCAGCATCAATTAAAACACCTTTATTAAAACACAGATAAAGTTAAAAGGACAAAGAAGATGTGCACATATTAAAACAATCCACATATAAAAAATTGCCATTTAAAATTCACAATTTAATAAAATTTAAAAAGTGCCCAGTGCTTGTTATCAAGGTTGGCTATGTGCAAGGAAGTGAATGAAACTGTGCATGTGTGCTTATGTGCCTGTGAATGGTATGGGGGAATGAATGGTTGAGTTTTTCTGAATTTTTCCATCTTTCATCAATTACAAATAAAATGGGACCAGCAGAGGGCAGCTAATTCCACTAGAAAAATCCCTATGTCTTTTGGCGCTTCTACTTCTTAAGTGAATGTGATCAAGTGTGTGTGTGTGTGTTGGTCACATTTAGGGCTCTGTGGTTAATATCTCAGGCTAGAACTGGGGAGACTTCACTGGGGGAACTTTGGGGAATTGCTATTTTTCATCCCTACCTTCCCCACAGGGTTTTTGTGAGATGGACAATCATGTTCAGTGCACTGAATTCCTTGGGAGAAGAATAGAATATGGATATGTATTTGTGTGTGTATGTTGATGCCCCCCCTTTTTTTTTATAAAAGGAAAGAGATTTATACCTTGACTGATTAGCTACATTTCTACTCCATCTTTCCTTCTGTGAGCTCGAGATAGCATCTGTTGTCCTCCTCCTTCCTATTTTTATCTTCACAATGCCCCTGCTAGGCAGGCAAGGCTGAGAGTGAATGACTAGTCACTAGCCCAGGGGTAGGCAACCTTTCCCCTTTAAGGGCCGAGGGACTTCAGCTCCCAGAATCCCAGGAGCTATTGGCCAACATGGGACTATTGGCCAACATGGCTGAGGCTTCTGGGAGCTGAAGTCCCTCGGCCCTTAAAGGGGAAAGGTTGCCTACCCCTGCACTAGCCTATAGTCTCCAACAGGTTCCATAGCTCAATGGGGACCAGAACCTAGATTTCCCAGGTCAGCACTCTAATCACTGCACCACACTGCTCTTTTGAGATGAATGCCTGCTATATTAACACATGTACAGTGAGCCCTTGGTATCTGCTGGGGTTTGGTTTCAGGACCCCCCTGTGGATACCAAAGTCCGTGGATGTTCAAGTTCCATTAAATACAATGGATAGTAAAATGGTGACCCTTACAAAAATGGCAAAATCAAAATTTGTATTTTGGAATTTATATATTTTTAAAATATTTTCAAGCCATGGAGGCATGAATCCATGGCTACAGAAGCCATGGATGTGGAGGGCTGACTGTAATTGTTTATGGCATAAATTGTTTAATACGTTGGTCCAGTGAGTTGAACAGAACCACAGGCGCTCCTGAGGAACAAGGCATTATGATTTGACAGATGAGGAAAGAGGATAAACCCCTGCTCTGTAAATGATACGTCTGCCTCTAACTTTCTTAGGGCCAGTTGCATAAAATGTGTCACTGTAGTTAAGTTGACATTTAAAAAAAAAATCAGTAATCAGGTTGGTGACTCATATTGAGAACGTATGCTCCTCCATATATTGGAGAACTACAATTCTCGTCATCTTTCATCATTAGCTGTGCTGGCTGGGGATAATGGTGGTTGCAGTATGACAATGACTGGAGACCCACAGGTTATCTATCTTTTGTTTAAGCTGGGGTGCAAATCAGTCTTGGAGGGGAGCTTTTGAGGTCCTTGGCCCATGGGTATCCAACTGATCCCAAACAGAGAGAAAGATTTGGCAGATTATTGCAAGTTTTCAGGGGTCAGGGAGCATAGTTTGCCTGATAATGGTGGCTGAAAGTGATGAAATTTGACTTCTGTACTACCCAATTGAAGCCAGTGTT